TCGTATGGCCAATGGTGAAGCAATGAGGATTTTCAACCACTTAGCTTTCACGGGACCCCGACGTTGGGTGATCACTAGCTTTCAGTCCACCCCGACGTTGATCCACAAGTTTCTCATGACCAGTGGTACCTTTCATGGGCAGTTTCAAACATGGCAAGCTCCAACGCTCCAAAAGGATTCAGCTGTTTTGCTCCGATCCAGTCCTCCAATCCTGCTGCGGGAATGGGCCGCTATGGTGCAGCCTGCGCCTACACCGAATGGTGTAGACTTTGCGCCGCTTCTGCGGCCCGTTGTTTTTTTACACGCAGCGCGAAAAATCGGTATAGGAGATCATGTCCAAAAGTTCACACCCTGGTGATCAATGATTTGGACAAACTTTGACTGTATTGAAAACTGATTTCGTGGGCAAATTGTACCCTCTGGTAATTGAACATCACTATGGAAAATGGTCATTTATAGTGGTTTTTCCCATGAAAAATTGTGATTTTCCATAGTTTTGTGATGTTTTTTGTATGTTTACCAGAGGGTATAGGACTTTTTCATGCGGCAAATTCTTTGCCTCGTGCGAATGTTTCGAGGTGGAGCGGTCGGATCGTTTCACCGCAAGTGGATGCAAGTTCTTGATTGCGATCTGGGTTATATATGGTTATATGATGATTATATGATGTTAAATGCACTACATTTATTTATTTACATTTGTTTACATCGTACATGTAATTATGCATGCTATATTTCAGATGTTATATCCTAGTTGCTGTCCTAGCTTATGGATACTCTGCATCCTTTTGCTGAGAGCGTGGCCTTGTTCTGGGAGGGGGCGTAGCAGGCGGCTCTTTGAGCACACGGCAAGTTCTTGGTCATTGTTAAACTGTTAATCCCATCCCAAAAAAAATATTCAAACAACCCCATTGTATGGTCCCAAATATGTGATTTCATCCCTTACTAAATCATGGTTCCTGGAGTGTTTAATATGAATGGGGGACTGGGAATACTGGGAAAAACCATGGGCTCATTCGGCCCCGCGCCCGTGCAAAAAAAAGTCTGCAGCCAGTTGTTTTCTGACGTTTTTGCTGGCGATGTTAGCTTCAAACTAAGTACAGATGTGGTGTTTACGCACCATTTTCTAGATCATTTTCTCGGGGAAACCACGGTTTTCATCTATGTTAGGTTACCCTAGTGTATTTGTTGATATTTATTGATTGTTCGGTGCGAAAGGTCCTAGGGCTAATGGCCCGAGTCGTGAGTCGTGATGTCTGGAAACTATTGGCTTTAATGGGGTCCACATACGCGACCATGCGCATAGAGTATACAGGTGAATGATTTACACACATATATATGATGTATGATATATATATATATAATATTATACATATATTGCGGCGGTTCCCAGCCAACCCCTTGGACTTTTTGCTTTCTTTGGGGATAATGGCAAGTTATACTCATAAACTAGAGCTAAAAATTCGGCCGAGGAGCTAGGAAACAACCAGATATGCTTCGCAGCCTTGATCGATATGCTAGGTGTATTCCTGGCATTTGGTTTCAGAATATATCAATCTACTATCAATAATGCGAGCATATGTCCATATATATATATATGTATTACACACATATATATATATATATTTATTATTTACATATATATATTTACATATGCATATAAGCACTTATATTTATATCTATATATATATATATATGCATAGATATACACATTATGGGATACCTCCAGTAAACTTCAGTAAGCTAACAGGATATAGATGTGTTTTTTCAGTTTACCCAGCATTAAACAGGTGGAAGTGGAGGAGATCCGGGATCTTATGAGGGTCTTCCACATGCCCGAGAGTGCAGCAGATCAGGCACCAACGGGCAGCGATATGATGGGAGTTATCATGACTTCATGGGATTAAATAGGGGATTTATCGTGATTTCATGGGAATTATATAATAAGATTTCATAGGATTTATATGGAATTGATCATGATGAAATGGGATGTTTCTTTTATGGATGATTTAACCTATACATAATTATTTACCTACTAAGGGATTAAACAATGTTTTATTTTTTTTTAAATAAGCTATACACATCTTGTTTGTGCAAAATGTAAAATACATTGGAAACCGGGTATGATGGGGAATGCATTGTCGAGCTAGAATCCTGGAAGCACTTTTCGGCATTTTTCTCAAGTTGCCATACTTAAAATCGTTATTGAGCCATCAAACACAGTGGGATTTTAATTAATGGGATATTATATATATACTGTAATGGTGGTATGTCTGGTTGGTGCTTTGCAGGCTTTAAAACGTCAGTCAACAAATGGGATGGATAAACTTATAATATGATGTATGCGTAATATAGTATATCTATACTATATATATAAATATGATATAATCCAGTATATGAGCACCTTACTGACTAATAAGTATGTTCAAACACCAGCAATGAGATGATTTGGGCTGGGCTATGGAAGCCATGATCACCATGCTCGTGGCCCATAGTTGAAAGTTGATTTTAATTACATGCAGTTCATCAATGGATTGGTTAGGAAAATCTACAGGAAACCATGGACTTTCCAATCCATTGAGTTCAATATGTGTTTGACTTGGTTTCTATTCAAATTATTTACAGAAGATCAGCTCTGTGAACATTCAAGAATGGGAGAGAACAACTTGGTGGTTTCGATGGGTTCAAAGTTCAAACGCGTTTCCTTTCAATTTGTCTCGCGCTTTGAGATGTACAACTGAGAGCTGCCTGGAGACATCGCTAACATCCTCGAGCATAAACATAAACATGGAACATCTCCCAGCAACGCCCATTGTCCTGTTGAAATCAATAAGTGAGGTCCCAGCCGTCCCAGCCGTCCCAGCCTGTGAAGTCTTGGTGTTGGTCTGTTTTTTTTGTGAACCTTTTTTTTTGATTTCCATAGCTGCATACAGAAGGCACCTGTCCTGCATGTTGGGCCATGGCAATTCTTGTGTGAAGCGCCGGCTGCAATGTTGGGCTCTAGCGCTCTATGTGGCGCTGTGTATTCTTTGGCGTTCACCGCCATTCAGGCGCGGAGGGGTTGGGACCTCTTCGAAGTGCGACTTATACAAAATGCACCTAAACCTACCATTTGGGATGGTTTTTAGCAACCCATGTGTATCCATTTATGGATTTCTTGGGGATTGCTTGTAAGTAAAGATTTTGCTTCTCTATGGTTGCTTTGAGGGTCAAGGCTGTTGCAATGGCTCTGTAAATTGCTCTTACAGATCCATCTTGGAGATTGGGCCGCCCCCATCCGCCCCCAAGTTATCTGCATGATAGAGTGTAACCGCATCTGCAAATCACAGCATACTACAGATTGGCACTTCTTGGCCCCTGTGATTTTTACTTTAGGAGGAATAGCCCAAGGGCCTACAAGATTGTATAAGTTTAATTTCCATGAATTTCAGAGCATGAAAAGGCGGAAAAGACCTGGAATGGAGTCATTACCCATAGGATCCATGTATGCTGCTATATATGGGTAACATGGATCCCGTCAATATACGGCAGTCATGTTAGCATATGTAATATATACCATACATGGATCCTATGGGTTATGATATCATCCAACAGTCCACTCCAAAGAAAATTGCTGCAGGCGAGATTCAGATCCTGGCGCCTTCGCATTGCCTCTGCCGGGACGGACAGGTGACCAGCGATCCAGCGAAAATGGGATCTGGGTAGTACAAAGTAGCCTCTGGTAAACGTTTACATAACTATGGAACACCAGCATTTTTAACGGGTAAATCCACTATTTCTATGGCAATTTTCACAATAGCTATGTTTGTTTAACCAGAGGGTAAGCAGATTTGTTTAGAGGATGCAATTCAAACATTTCAAACATGCCAACATGCCATGAAGGAGGCATGGCGGTGCAACGATTATGGAGCTATTTTTTATGGTGTCCCCAGAAATTCCGGTTCCCAGTCGGCGCCTCCAGTCCAAGGTGGGCAAGAACCACCAGAGCCAGAACATGAGAATCAGTTTGTCATCGAGACTTGGACTGGAAGGCATTCCCATCAGATTGGGCCAAACACATAGTTTTGATCAATTTCATTAACATTGTACTTAGTACTTGATTTTCATTAATATGTTTGATGACCGCCCAAAAAACCAGAAACATCCAGAAACACTTGGGTTTCATGTGAAATTCCAACTTGAGAGCAGCTTCTGTCTTCACCATTTTCACCTTTCCAGATCTATCCAGAGCGGAAGATTATTCCCAAAGGACGTGGCGAACGAACTCTGGTTTGCAGCTGATGATTTGCTGACAGCTGGGTTTCTTGGCATCGTGGAGCTCCTCAGGGCCCTTGCTCTGAAGGATTATAATATCTTATAAAGATCTAGCTAGACGAGTCGAATGCTTGGCTAACCATTAGTCTCTAGCTAGAAATAGGAATACGATGGAATAATGTGTGCGTAATTATGAGTATATATAAAAGACATTTATATAAATATATATAATTATAATATATGTACATATATATATAAACTTCCATATGCATACACACATATATATATACATTTAGAAAACACACGGTGAATATATTTATTTGTACAACATATATACGTGCATAAGCAAAAATACATTTAAGATTTAAGATATGGATAATATGTATTTAATAAATATATATATATATATAATAAATGATATGTATTTTTCAATATATATATATATATCATAGCTGGATGTAATATGTACATATGCAACACATTTGATATAAATATCTATGTAATATACATCTAAAACATATAGAATAGTGATAATGTGCATTTATATATATATATATTATACGCAAAGATAGCTGTCGTCTAACCTTATTTTCTTCGAGCAGGGTAGAAGAATAGATGAGGCTCTTGGAAGCCGTTGAGGATCGTGTGTGTGTGCCCCATTCGTACTCTGAGTGAACAACAGTCGTAGGGATCATGTTCACTTAATGTTTATTCTGACCTGATATTTTTGCTGGTACTGCATTTTCAATGTTAACTGGTTGGTTTATCTCCTGGTTGGTTGGTTTACATGGTTTTTGAAGATATGTTTATTCAAGGTTGGTTTATCTTCATTTTCAATGTTAACTGGTTGGTGGTTTGTAGGATCAGGATCCCAACGACCTTGTCGGATTCAGGTCCTTTATGGGTGATGAGGGCTGGGCGAACCGCGGTGAAAGCCCAGCAACCCTTGGAGCTGTTGGAATTGCCATGAGGAGTGCACCCCAGAAACCAAGGTGTTGCAGGGTTGTTTTTTCCCACATATTTGGGACCATGGGGTGTAGAATTTTAGGGGATGGGCTTAGCTAGAGTGATCCAAGTTAATCAGTTAATCATTAATCCCCGATTTATGGAGAAGCGGGTTACGGATTAGCCCAGAGGCCCAGATCTGGGCCCTCGTGAAATACCTTCGAAGCGTCTCTGCGTTCCAAGAATTACCTACTGGAAACCTCCAATCAGAAAGTGTCATGCTATGCAATATTTTTGGGTGATTTTGGGGTATGTTCAAAATTTCCTAGTTGGAACTGGAGTTGTATTTCACAATTGGAATTGGGGAAAGCGCCGCTGGTCATCCCGCGGATTTGGTTAGGGTTAGCAAGTGGGGCGATCTAACCCAGCTATGAATGGGATACCTTCAGAAATTGAGGACTGATGAACTAGATTGAATTATTTAATTCTATTCTATCCCAATGATTATCTATTGATTATCTCTTTCAATCCATTATGACTCCACTATTCGTGGAGGATCTTCCATGATTGTCCTGTTAATGTCAACCCCAAAGCGTAACATGGCAGCTGCCATGACTTCTTGGGCCAGGAATTCGGCTGAAGCCTTGCTCTTTGCCGATTGGTGGACCGTGGCCGGCGAACTGGAGGTGGCCGGTGCATCAGGCGCGCTTGCGATGGACAATCCATGGGAAAGCGATTGAAAAACCACGGAAAAGCCGGGGAAAAAGATATCACATTAAATCACATTTAGAAAAGTTAAAGATGTGCAATATTGTGCAACTAATTCTCTTGATTGTAATAGTATTAATGGTCATTGTCCATGAACATTTTGTTTTGGTGTGTCCTTGGGCGATCATGGACTGGATATGTTTTGCAGAGATTTGGGATGGGAGGCTGAAACACCCGCGTTTCGAAAACTTGACCTAAACCAGTACCCTCTGGTAAACGTTTACATAGCTATTGAAAATGGCCATTTATAATCATTTATATCCATTTATAGTGGATTTTCACGGATTTTCTCATTAAACATGGTGATTTTCCATAGTTTTTTGTATGTTTACCAGAGGCTACTGTCGGCTTGTCAGGTGACTTCTACTTTGAAGAGCAGGAGCCAAAAATCACTGGCCGACATGTTCCGCTGCAGCGGCTGGGTCATTAACTTAAAAAGGTGCTGCCATGAAAGCTCACATGCGCAAGCGCATGTTGCAGCAAAATGGATCTGTAAAAGAGATGGCTGCGATAATAGTTGTCATTTTGGGATATGTTGGATTTCACTTTAGAAGTGTGTGACATTGTTTGTGGTTCCATTTTGATGTGTCGCAGTGCAGTACATGTAAATACCTGGTGATTTTTCCTCTCGCGGTCATCACAGCAATCCCAGGTTGCTTAGAAGCCCCCATGCAACCGTCCGTTGAATAGTTGCCTGCAGGATTTTCTGGACATGACACAGGCGCTTCCAGAGGAGTTTGATCGCTGGGGCCCAGAGGAGGCTGTGGAAACTGGTGAAACGTTGGCTCCGTGGTAAATCAGACATGGAAAATATGGTACAATTATATAGGGAACTACGGGACAATGGGGAAAATTATAAGGAACTATGGTTCCATATCTATCTTCTCAATTATGGGTACAGAGAAGATATGGAAAGCCATGGGAAAATTATAAGGAACATAAGGGGCCCATATATAGGGAACTATGGGAAATATATGAGAAATCTAGGGAAATATCGGAAACTATGGGAACATTAGAGGGACACTAGTAATAGATATGGAAAACATATGGCAAAATCTCACCAGCAAAGACTTGGATTTGCTGAGTCGATAGAACCGCGGTTTTTAAAAACGGGGCTTGGAAGATGAGTTTCCACTCAGAAGTGGCGATATATAGTTTTAGGGTCAAAGTATGTGTTAAACGAAATTGACTGGAGGGTCATAGTCTCTTCTCCCTTTTGTTTATCATGTTTATTTTTAAACACCTGATTACCTGATTGAAAGCCCTGGTTTAAATTGGATCTGTTCATTTTCGCGGCCTGGGGATAACATATTCCAGATGGGATTGCAATGCTTTAATTTGTTGCCAGAAATGGGGATACATCTTTGAAGTGCAACCAGCGGCAAGCCGTCTAAGATCGATCATCACAAGCATTGTATGCCTAAACAGGGGACACCAATTGGCCTGCACATGTTGTCATGTCTGACATGACACCATATGGAACCCATGACCAAGAATCCAGAAGAAGTGTAGGGGTATCATTTGTTTGCAGGATGATTTCCATGGCTTTCCTTACTCTGAGCAATTGTTTTAACTGTAAAAAAACTTTACAAGACGTGATGGTTAGAGGAAATCATCCCAAAAATGGCCTCTTTCAAGATTTGCACGTGCTGGCTTTTGTTTGAGCAGGTGCTACAATTTGCTCAGTCCATTTGATGATCCCTTGCCACCAACAATGACAGGGTTTGCTGAACTGCCACGACATGCCATATTGCAAGCTATTAAGTGCATATTAAGTGCGCCTACAACCAGCATTGAGCGGGGAAAAGGGTAAGTGACCAACTGCCCGTTTTGTGCACAATTTGCTTTGTAGCACCTGGGTCCATCAATTTGCTTGTGTATTTGCTCTGTGTCTAAGCTATAAACTAAAACACCGCCCGCCTCTTCACGCCCTGTCAAACTGCAGAAAACAATGTTCAGACGGGAAATGGCTTGGGCCATATGAATCATATAATGTATGCCCGTTGTTTGGCTTCACAATCAGCCTTTTGTGATTTAGTATTTGATTTGTAGCAGTCAAATCGCTATGTTTGGTACTCAAATCCTTTTATTTTTTGTATGGTAAAGGCGCCAGCTATTGATACATATGTCCAATTGCTATCAACAGATTACATTCCACTTCAGTGATTCAAATCACATCAAACCATTCAAATTCATGGTGTTTGCTCCAATTCCCCGGGCCCAATGTGCCATCTGCATTTCGTTCGTTGAAGGCCTCCGCCAGCTCCTCGTCCGCCCAAGTAGCCTTGCGTCGCCTCAGCAGAGTGATGGATGACCTAGCGGAGCGGGTGGGAAATGGCTCCGTCGCTGGCCAGGCAGTTGGCAGTGCGGGGAGGTTGGGTCAGTGGGATATGACCTGGGTTCTCTTACAGTTGGTTGATTATTATATGGAGATATCAAAGCCCTGTTGATTATGACACGTAGGGTATTAATGTATTATATATGTTCTCCATTTTTATCATATAATTATAATATATAATATATAATATAATCCAATATATTGGGGATTATCACAATCAACCAGCATCCACAAGCTGGGAAATCCAAAAAAACAGCCAGTAGAAAGGGACGGCATGGGACGGGCCTTGAAGACTGCTCAGAATGACCTTCGTCGCTTCGCTGATTTTTGATCTAGACCCGCCACGTACCTAGAACCATTGGGTAATATACCCATTCTTCTGGGGATTTTGACCCATTTTTCGAGCAAAATCATCAATTCATCATTTGAGGAATCTACGTATAGGGAAGATGTTTTATTTTTGATTTGCCTTCAGCAATTCCAAGATGAATATAAGAGGTTCATATTCATATCCACCAACATTAAATGGAACGGATAAAGGCTGGGAGCGGTGTCCAACTCTCATAGTACTTCATAACCTCTATAACCCCCATCCCTATCATATAATTAAGAATCAATTACTGCTGATACATGTGTAAACTAGTATAAATATTCAATAGATATTTACGGTATATATATTATTATATATGTATTGTCTTTGTTTTTCATATCTTTTAAAAAACACACTTTTCATCTCACAGCCACAGTTTGCGACAATAGCATGCAATAGCTGCACTCGAACTCACTATGACTACGTCTACGTCTCTCAATTTTTTTGGGGGGGATTACTGCGATAAAAAAAGAAAGACCCCAAATGGCTGGTTTCTGGATGTTTCTGGAGTTGGAAAGTAAATGGATTGATGGTTAAAGTATCCAGATCATATCCTCCACCCTTTGTTTTTCAGAGCTAAGATGACTATTCCTGCACAATTTTCCCCAAAACACCAGGCGTTGCGGCGCAGCGCGGAGAATTGGCGCCGCTGTGCGCGGCTACTGGCTGGGCAGGAGGCGGCTGGATCAACCTTGGTGATGTTATCCGGTTGAAATCAGCTAGAAATCGGCCACTTTCCATAGCTATGCTAGATTATCAGAGGGTCACTTTACAGAATGTTTCTGTTCACTGTTGTTTTTCTCATTTTTTTTGGTGCGCGAAATGCATGGATGGGGTTGCAGATGTTCTCTCGAACCAAAGTAATGAACCATTGCAAATCACCATGTCTATGTTGGCAAATGCTTAGCAGGTAGACTTTTTTCCTCGCTTCTATACATGGTTTTAAGATGGCTTCAGCACTCAGAAATGTGGATTTGAATAACACATGGATTTCAGCACACATGTATTTTTGGCCACCAGGAAGTGTGGATATATCCTTCTTTTTCTGCACACCATGGCAGAGGGAAATATGGAGAATATCCTTCACCATCATGGGGAGATCATTGGGATACCCGGCCTGGTCAGTTCGCGAACTGGAAAATCACCATCTTTAAGTTCGGTAAATCAACTATAAATGATCTAAAGGTGCCATTTTCAATAGCTATTTCGACATAACCAGAGGGTACATATCCCCATGGAAACCTGCTAAACGCTGTACTGTTGCTGCAGGCAGATGCGGAAGAGCAGTCGTGAGACAAAAGTTTGGATTTCCGCGATGTCCTGCCAAAGGGTTGGGCGGTTTCAGGTGGTTTGGGACATTAGGATAATTTTGGGATGATCTGATATCTCTTGATATGTTTTTCTTTAAAATAATTAATACGATAATTAATGATACTCTGTGATTTGCTGCGCCATTATTGGGGATTGTTTGAATTTGGGAACGCACCTACCCAATGGTGCACTTGTCCACCGTTTCTCGGGTGTCATTCACGGCCATCCCAAAAACCACCGATGTTTTCAGCATGCAGGCCGCGGAAGGCAAAGCCATGGAATGTCTGTCTCATTGAGTTGGTTAATTTAAGGGCTGCCGCCCCTGCCGCCGACCCCGGAAGAATTGGCAAGCCGTCAGAACGTATATATGGTACAGGCCTGCACCCCCCCCCCAAAAAAATGGGGAAAGGATGTTCCTGGGACAGTTTTACACGCATTGTTGCCTGTTATGGTTTTTATGTTAAAGGGGAACGTGCGTTCCTTGGTGTTGATGTTTTTTGTGATGTATGTTGTAAGACATTTTTGGTAAAAACGTTTCATCCTAACCTTGTTGATTATTTTAGGGGAGTATCATTGATTGGGTCAGGATTTGTTGAGGTTGTTAGGGTTTTAAAGTTTTCATTTATTCAACTAAGATTTGAAAAGAAGGGAATGTATCATTAAGATTGTCTATTATTTCTTGATGACTTAACGGTTCTGTCACTTCTTCATTGTTTGATTGTTTTTGTGTTTTTCCATTATCTTTTTGTTTTTGACCGGAATTGTTGGTTTGTGCTCATGGTTTTTTCTTTCCATTTCTTTTAGGATGGTGTGTCTGACCACCCTTGCGTGAGTCGTAGGCTTCGCAAGGAAAAAGGCACATCGTAATAATTGGGTTTGTGAAATGGAAAGAAAAAAACATGGGCCCAAGTCAGCAGCATCAGCAGCATCATTAGCTTCAGCATCAGAATATATATATATATATATATGTTATCACTGTTACAATTAAATTATTATCAGTATTTAGTAGATGAATTTGGTGAAAACATGGGGGGTTTTGATCTTGTGATCGTCCTGGTGGTAGCTACAGGCAAAAAGAATTTAAGGTACTGTATCACATCATCCTATTTGAGTTGGCATGTTTGTTAACTTACCCATTTTTCAGGTTCAGCATGGGGTTCATCCCGGTATGGTGTTGGTGCATCCCAGCTCGTAGCAGCAGTGTTTCCCATGGTTTTGCAGCGCTTGTCTTGGCGATGGACTGCTTCGCCCTCTACTCGAAGGAGGGCCGGGTGAGCGGTGGATTTTGAACGGCAAGATGTGTGATTTTTTGCGAAGCAAAATGGGGAATAAACAGAGATACGATGATCTGGTTGGTGCGTTGGAACATGAATTTTATTTTCCATATATTGGGAATTTTACAACCCCAACTGACGAAGTCATATTTTTCAGAGGGGTAGGTATACTACCAACCAGTGATATTTAATGGCATATATCCAGATAAAAAAAATATAAACCCACTTGGAGGTTTTAATGGAACAAAACATCTATAACAGGGGGATGTTCAATTGCCACTATCTACAAAGACTCGCCCATAGGATCGATGTATGGTATACAGTATATGCTAACATTTGGGGTATATTGATGGCAAATGTTACCATATATAGCATACATGGATCTTATGGGTTTCAAATACTATCAAAATATTTGTATCATAGTTGAGAATCCGCGTAGTTTGCATAGATGGTGATTATCCAGTTCGCAAACATTCCGCTGAGTCTGGGGGTTTTTCCACACGTAGTCCCCTCACACGTCGAGATGGAAGACAGAGTCATCTTTTTGGACCAGTACACCAGCTTGTATGTTTCACATAGAAAACACCAATGAAACATGTGTGTATAGATATATATATATATATAGAGAGAGAGAGAGAGACATATCTTCATCGCTGCAAAATGTGGATTGAATTTGGCCACATTTTAGTAGGAAACATTATGATATATGATTAAAAACTTTGGATTTTCGATTTTTCCTTATCATTTTCAGGTTCACCGACAGTTGGCTTGAGATCTTGGGCAGGCTCCACGACTTAAAACGCCGACTTCAGGGCCGAAGACCTCCGAGGCGCTGGCGTCTGACAAATAGTTATTGCGGTGTAAAGAATGCACTGCGCAGAAGCGCGAGGCAGGCACACCGTATCGATGCACGCAGTGTGGCCTGTGGCACGCTGCGTGCCACTTTGCAAGCAAGCACCAAAACCCCCGCTGGAGCATGTATCGCGTCTGTCTGTCGTGTGATGCTAAAAGAAAATGTTTTGTTTGCCAAAGCAAACAAACGAAAGAATACTTCGGCGCCTCAGCGTGGATGGCTAGGAAGCCTACGCGAAGAGTGTGTTTGCAGTGCCAAACGAAAACGCGTGGTTCTTGGAAGTGCGCAGCCTGTCACCAACGCAAACCGCAGCAGCAATTTTCTGATTTCATTGGAAAGCGGCCTTCTGGCGAAAACGGCACACAAATATGCAATGTATGCCACGCTGTCGTTGCGCAAGCAGTTCTCCGCAAGCGGGCTGCTGCATCGACCATAAGCCGACTGGAACCTCTTCGCAAAAAATTGCGTCAAACCCAAGTGCTACGCGAGACATGGCAAGCGATCGCAGAATACAGAAAAAAACACACGGGCCAAACCATGACCAACGAAAAAGAAGGTACACACGAGGTTGCAATCCCAAAAGACATGGAGCAAAAGCCACCACCACAAAAGCTGTATGTGTACTCATGCCCTTTTTGCCAAAAATCTGTTACTACGTCAATTGTTTCCGGACATGTCAACCACCGACGCGTATGTGGGAGACAATTTCGCGTGCAGGATGGCCTTCTTCGACCAACGCTGCCGGCAACGCGCTTTTCGCACATATGCCCTACTTGTGGAACCTGCGTCCAGAGCACCAAAGAATTTGGGCGAATCCAAAGCAAACACAAACAATCCAATGGCCGCGTGTGCCCCCGAACGGAATGGCATGCACAGTAACAACAAACGACCAGTTCCGGCTTGCTTGTCTGCTTCAGCTCTCAGCATGAAAACTTTCTGCTCCTGCTGCTGTTGCGGCAAAAGCTTCTGCTGCTGTTATTGCTGCTGCCGCGGGTCGTCTATTTGCTGCTGTTACTTTTCCTCCTGCTAGCAGGCAAAAAACTTCGATGGTGTTGCCTGCGGTTGCTTGCACTACAACAGCTTCTACCAAATCGCACACACCATGGCTCTGAAGGACGATCTAGTTCCAAAAACCACGCCAAAAAAGTGCCTAACGTCCCGTCTGAAATCCCAGAAAAACAACTTTTTTCGAGAATTTCTGTTGCCTGCGGGCGCTCGCAGGAAAACAACTTCGAAAAAAGCAGCTCCCGGCAGGAAAACACCATGGCTCTGAAGGACGAACTAGTTCCAAAACCACGCCAAAAAAGTGCCTAACGTCCCTTCTGAAATCCTAGAAAAACAACCTTTTTCGAGAATTTCTGTTGCCTGCGCCCGCTCGCAGGAAAAAAACATAAAAGCAGCTCCCGGCAGGAAAACACCATGGCTCTGAAGGACGAACTAGTTCCACAACCACGCCAAAAAAGTGCCTAACGTCCCGTCTGAAATCCTAGAAAAACAACCTTTTTCGCAGGAAAACAACTTCGAAAAAAGCATAAAAGCAGCCCCCGGCAGGAAAACACCATGGCTCTGAAGGACGAACAACCTTTTTCGCAGGAAAACAACTTCGAAAAAAGCAGCTCCCGGCAGGAAAACACCATGGCTCTGAAGGACGAGCTAGTTCCAAAACCACGCCAAAAAAGTGCCTAACGTCCCTTCTGAAATCCTAGAAAAACAACCTTTTTCGAGAATTTCTGTTGCCTTCGCAGGAAAACAACTGCGAAAAAAGCAGCTCCCGGCAGGAAAACACCATGGCTCTGAAGGACGAGCTAGTTCCAAAACCACGCCAAAAAAGTGCCTAACGTCCCGTCTGAAATCCAAGAAAAACAACCTTTTTCGAGAATTTCTGTTGCCTGCGGCCGCTCGCAGGAAAACAACTGCGAAAAAAGCAGCTCCCGGCAGGAAAACACCATGGCTCTGAAGGACGAACTAGTTCCAAAACCACGCCAAAAAAGTACCTAACGTCCCGTCTGAAATCCTAGAAAAACAACCTTTTTTCGAGAATTTCTGTTGCCTGCGGCCGCTCGCAGGAAAACAACTTCGAAAAAAGCAGCTCCCGGCAGGAAAACACCATGGCTCTGAAGGACGAACTAGTTCCAAAACCACGACAAAAAAGTGCCTAACGTCCCTTCTGAAATCCTAGAAAAACGACATAAAACAACATAAAACAACCTTTTTCGAGAATTTCTGTTGCCTGCGGCCGCTCGCAGGAAAACAACTTCGAAAAAAGCAGCTCCCGGCAGGAAAACACCATGGCTCTGAAGGACGAACTAGTTCCAAAACCACGCCAAAAAAGTGCCTAACGTCCCGTCTGAAATCCTAGAAAAACAACCTTTTTCGAGAATTTCTGTTGCCTGCGCCCGCTCGCAGGAAAACAACTTCGAAAAAAACATAAAAGCAGCTCCCGGCAGGAAAACACCATGGCTCTGAAGGACGAACTAGTTCCAAAACCACGCCAAAAAAGTGCCTAACGTCCCTTCTGAAATCCTAGAAAAACAACCTTTTTCCGAAAACAACTTCGAAAAAAGCATAAAAGCAGCTCCCGGCAGGAAAACACCATGGCTCTGAAGGACGAACTAGTTCTAAAACCACGCCAAAAAAGTGCCTAACGTCCCGTCTGAAATCCTAGAAAAACAACATTTTTCGAGAATTTCTGTTGCCTGCGGCCGCTCGCAGGAAAACAACTTCGAAAAAATCACCTCCCGGGGGGGAAAACACCAGGGCTCTGAAGGACGAGCGAGTGCCAGAACCACGCCAAAAAAGTGCCTAACGTGTCGTCTGAAATCCTAGAAAAATCTAGATTAGATTTTTGGTAGGCTGCTGGCTACTGGCTGCTGGCTGCTACTGGCGCTGG